TGTAACCACTGAGAAAGAGTGTTAAAAACAAAACCTTTCCCCCTATGGTTGAGGCATCTCAGAAAATCTAGGTATAACATACAAAATGTATCTGATAAGACTAACTACTACATTAACTGATGGCCTATTGGACACAACGACATAACATTTAAGTCATCAGTGTGATAAGTCTAACTGCTTCAATCTTCTTGTTTGCGTTTATGTTAAAATGTCTGCAATATCTTTTTGTAACCCATGTCAACTTTACTTGATGTCAATGTCTCTTTTTTAATCCACAGTGCTCAATAACTGTTAGGTAATGTCTTGAGACAAAAAAACTGTAGGGATGCCATGGAAACTTTTTTTGCCTTGCCAGACTGGTAACATTGCTCATCTATAAGTATGAGGAAGTTGTTGTGCTATGTTGTGCTGTATGTTTGGACTCAGTTACAGAATCAAGGGCATTACATTTTAGTCATTTAGCAGCTCTTATCCAGAGTGACTTACAGTTAGTGAATGCATACATGGTTTTTTTTGTTTTGTTTTTTTATACTGGCCCCCCCGTGGGAAGCGAACCCACATCGCTGCCGGCCAAACCCTCCCCTACCTTGGACGACGCTGGATCAATTGTGCGCCGCCCATGGGTCTCCCGGTTGCGGCCGGCCTTAGACCACTGCGCCACTCGGGAGTCATGCAGTTGAAATGAAATCAAATACTGTAAAAAAAATACTGTAATTTTTTTAAATGAAAACAGTCAGTCCAATACGCTGAAAATGTGTGATACAAATCTTATCCTGAGTTTCTGTCTTACACATCTTGGTAATTTTCCTCTCAACAGGTTGAGTCATGCAAGTGTGTACTTCTCTGGGAAAGGTAGTCATAACAAAACACTCTCATGCTCCACTGATGCCCTGAGTTCCTACCGACTGATACATAATATTATACCTATTACTGACTAAACAGCCTTCTCTCTCTTACAAAGGGTTAAGGGTATATTTGTCCCTGATGTGCACTGTGTCATTACTGATGCATAGACATCATGTGCTTTTGTTATTGCTATATTATTACTTTGCTTTTAGCAACATTTGAAATATTAATATCTTGTGAAGATGACCACTTAAACTAACAATAAGATACAAGGTATAGTGAGTCCTCCTAGTTTCTTCACATAGGCACAATTCTGTTACAGCATGGCTGGAGTACGTAACCCAAGGTTTTACTGTTTGTCAGACCCGGCACCGGGATAAAGTGACTAAGGGGGCAGTAGAAATCGGAGAGGGGGCAACATTGGGGCAACATTTTTTGGGGGTTCTTGCACTGGAATGATATTGAATTCTGATTATATATTCACGCTATACAACAATAAACACAAACACAACCTTTTATCACTCATCCCTGCGTTTAAAAAAACTGTTTTACTGCTAGGGTATCACTATAGGATTTGAGGCTGCTCTGAGGATTCATTTCTGAATCGGACTGGAGAGAACATGAGGGTGTTGTCAATTGTTATCGCTGTGATGTAGACTGCCGACCACAAAGCCTTAGCGTAAACACCAAGGGTGTGTAACCACAGAGAAAGAGGGTTAAAAACCTTCCCCCCTATGGTTGAGGCATCTCAGAAAATCTAGGTATAACACAAAAATTTTATTTGATAAGACTAACTATATTTCTGTTACATTAACTGATGGCCTATTGGACACAATGACATAACATTTAAGACATCAGTGTGATAAGCCTAACTGGTTCAATCTTCTCTGTTGTTTGTGTTAATATAATATATCTGAAATATCCTCTTATAACCACATCAACTCTATTTGATGTTACAGTTTTTTCCAATTGCTAACACACTAGAATGACATGCACAGCACTATTATTTAAACTGACACACAGAGACCAAAACCTCTTCTCAAGTCTCCAAAAGTCTAAACACATTTTCTGCTTTACACACATTTTGCAATTCAAAATGGCACTTTTTAAATGCACTGCACACGGTTCTCTGCATAAGACACAACAATCTGACATAAAGTCACGTTTGCCATTTCAAAACACTGCCATTCAAAATGACACTACATGAGCTAATTGGGAGACCCATGGGGCGGCACACAATTGGCCCAGCGTCTTCCAGGGTAGGGGAGGGAATGGCCGGCAGGGATGTAGCTCAGTTGGTAGAGCATAGCGTTTGCAATGCCAGGGTTGTGGGTTCGATTCCCACAGTATGAAAACAAATATTTAAAAAATAATGTATGCACTCACTAACTGTAAGTCGCTCTGGATAAGAGCGGCTGCTAAATGACTAAAATGTAAACAGAGGTCAGACGAGTGGATATAAGTACAATATTGACTGCAGTACGCAACATTGTTTCCCAGTGTACTGGATAACACCATATTGACTGTTTTTGTTCTTTGTTTTCAGCGAGTACTGGAAATGGATGCACATGCAATCCCACATGAGTTCATCTTTATAGATGAGGCTGGGTTCAACCTAGCAAAGACCAGAAGAACGGGGAGAAACGTCATTGGCCACAGAGCCATTATAGATGTTCCTGGCCAACGTGGTGGGAACATCACAATGTGCGCTGCCATCTCCAATACGCATGGTGTCCTCCACCGTCATGCCAACCTTGGACCATACAACACAGCCCATATTCTCACATTTCTCGACAGACTCCACAACATTCTCATAGAACCCATCAAAGAACCCGGTACGTTGTAGTATGGGACAACGTGAGCTTTCATCGTGCGGCCCCAGTCCAAAACTGGTTTGCTGACCACCCACCATTTCTCGTGCAATACCTCCCACTATACTCACCATTTCTGAACCCCATAGAAGAGTCATTTTCGGCATGGCGGTGGAAGGTATACGACCGGCAGCCCTTTGTGCGCATGCCTCTTGTGCAGGCTATGGAAGAGGCATGTGATGAGATTGATGTGGGTGCGATTCAGGGATGGATAAGGCACTCAAGGCGCTTCTTCCCTCGATGTCTGGCAAGGGAAGATATTGCCTGTGATGTGGACGTGGCCAGACCCAGCTGTGCGGCAAGATGCTGCCTAATTATTTTTCTTGCCTCTTTTTCTTTTTCTATATATTTTTTCTGCAAATTTTTTCTGCAATTTTCTTTTTCAGTTTACTGTTTTTTGTGAGCATATTTTTGTTCAGTCCAATGTGCATATATTGCACTGACTTGTTTGGTGAAAAATAAAAATAAAAATGTTTCTGAATCTGAAGAATTTTCTACAATTTGAACTATTTTAGTATTATGCCAAAGCATACTAAAGATGAGAGTGCTTTTCATTAGGCCCAACAGTGTGTATGTAGTTGGTTAGACAAAAATCTGGTAATATGAATGAAGTGTGTGCCATTTCGTGCAAACGTTTGATTTTGATAATGGTATATGTATTTTTGGTTGCAATGCTTCATTTTGCTGGACATATGAGGTATTTTGCAGTTTGGGTGTGTGGTTTTGTGAATTGTGTTAAGTATTTTGATAAAACCAGCCTAGTTTGCAAAATTGTGTTTTAGCAATTGGGAAAAACTGTAATAATGTATCTTTTTTTGTTCCACAGTTCTCAATTGAAACTTTTTTTTGCCTCACCAGACTGGTAACAATGCTCATCTATAAGTATGAGGTAGTTGTTGTGCCATATTGTGCTGTATGTTTGGACTCAGTTACAGAATCAAGGACAGGCAGTTCAAATGAAACCAAATACTGTATGAAAAAGACTGGGAAAAAAAGACTATGAAAACATGAATACAGTCAGTCGAATACACTGAAAATGTGTGATACAAAACTTCCCCTGAGTTTCTGTCTTATGCGTCTTGTTAATTGTCCTCTCTTAACAGGTTGAGTCATACAAGTTTGTACTCTCTGGGAAAGGTAGTCAGATAACAAAATACCCTCATGCTCCACTGATGCCCTGAGTTCCTCTAGACTGATACATAATATTATAAATATTACTAATTTATTACTGACTAAACAGCATTCTCTCAAAACTGTTTTAAGGTTAACTAACCTCAGATCAAAACATTCCACATTTCCTATTTTGCTGTGGAAACAGTAGGAGTATTGTAAAACAGTTCATTTTTTATTTATTTTTATTTTAGGGATCAACTCACACAGACATTTTATCTTGGCCCTCCATTCTTCACTTAAAGATTACCACTTAAACTTACAATAACTAAATGAAATAATGAGTCCTCCTGGGCACAATCCTGTTACAGCATGGCTGGAATGCATCACCCAAGTAGGTGTTACTGGTGTTGGGATGGTTGAGTTAGCCCATAAACCTGTTTTATTTCACTTTATTGTACTCTCATTGAGACAAAATGTATTTTGCTAGAGATATCTGGTCCAAATTATAGCAGCAAACTGGAAGGAAACTAAAACATCCAACCAACATTCAAGAATTCTCATTTATTGATGGATACAAAATATTTAGAAGATAAGTTTGTGTCATAAAGTAACATCAATGTAGCTTTATCATCATGCTGTCTGTATTTGTCCGTTGGTTTAGCTGTGGTTTCTCTGAATGGTCTGCATTCAAACAAGTTCAGTGTCACACCCTTTCTGCAGTTTCCTGAAATGTGTATAGTTTCCACTGTGACACAAAGCACATGGAAGACTATTTGATATGGGACAAAGTTGATAACTTATTACAGTTAAACATCCCCAAAAAGAAATACATAAAAAAAAAAAAAAAGACCAAAAAAAAATGTAAAACGACTTCAAAATGTATTCCCAAGGTTGCTGCTTTCTATGTCTGTTATTAGTGGTAATAATTGTATTGTTTGATGTCCGAGCTGTAATTCACAACTCTCAATGACAGATTTGCAAACCATTTGCTTAGGTTTTATGACTATGGCACAGTTGCCTTAATCACAGTTGAGTGAGCAAAGAACACCATTGTTCTTGCAGTTTCAGAGGAAACCTCCAAGTCAAACACAGCAAAAATACCATAATGTAATCAATAAAACCTGTGTGAAACAAAACCTACATGTTCCAAAGCGTTTTCTGGCATATCAAAATCAAATCAAATCAAATGTTTATTTGTCACATGCGCCGAATACAACAGGTGTAGACCTTACAGTGAAATGCTTACTTACAATATTTCTAAGACCTTTTAGTTTCTCTAAGACATTTTCCATTGTGTAGTGTCCAAAACTCATATTGTTGCAGACATCCTGATCACATAATAGAAGTTTACTTAGGCACTCTGTCTCAGCACAGTTTCAGTAGGGAAAGTCATTTCTGACCGTCGCAGGGTTTGAGAGAGAGAAAATATCCCCACAGTTCTTGCACGGCATTCAGTCTTCATAACAATCGGTCTGGTCTTTATTGCTCTCGTGATTCCTGTAAAATGCTCTGCATTTTACGGAGACAGGGAATCTGATACCGTTTCCCTGTTCATGTCTGAATGACAACACTACATAAGACACATAGGCATGCCACACTTTTAGACATGACCAATTGATCATAATGTTATTTTCTGTCTCCCCTCTGCAGGACAGGGATGCTCCATAGTACTTCACTCTGTCGGTTTTGTTGTAGCACACAGCAATGACAGTGGCCTCCAGAGTGTAGTAGTTTGTGTAGTTACTCTCACCTTTAATTTTGTCAGGCAAGCACAAGAGATTCAGGAAATCTAGAGCAAATATTTTTATTCCCTCTTCCTCCTCATGACCACAAATCTCGACAGCCTGAAAAACAAACAAGTGAAACATTCTATATTCAACAAATGATAAGCTACATGGACAATATATTTTTTTAATCAAATGTGTTTTATTGTCATTTTGTGTGTTTTGTTGATGTGGAAATTGGCCAGGGACAAAAGACTCAGGTTAAATCTATTCTATTTACACACTTACCAAATCCTGGAGAAAGGAAAATGGAGCCTGGTTGGGTAGCTTAGACTTGTAATGCTTGAATGGGTGCCGAAATCGGACTTCTAAATCGGACATCACAAGCCTACCCTCTGGAGACTCAAAGAAGGCAGTTGGAGGAAGACTGTCCTTATGAATGTGACCTAACAAAAAGATACTATGAAGTAACTTTTAACAAACAAGAATAATGAATAACATTGAAAAATTAATAACATAAGAACAATTCATAATTGTTTGTTCTATAAATAATTCATGTTCTAGAAATAATTCATTTGTAACATGATGAAATGTATGCACAATGTGTGGGAATGTATTTTAGGTGTATGATTAGTGTATTTAATTAGGCGATGTGTACCTTATTCATGTAACATTGTATTTTGTCATCTCCCTTCTCCTGGTGATTCCTCCAAAGCCTCACAACCTGTCCAATGAATGCTGTTCCTGATTACTTTAAGCTTCTGTCATTTATTTTCATCCAATTCCTATAAGTAGCTGTTGGTCTCCTTAAAAGTAGTATTGTAAAGTTGAATAAAGATCATGTACAGTAAATAATATACAGTGCCCTCCACTATTATTGGCACCCCTGTTTAAGATGTGGTCGAGGACTTCCAAAAATTCTCCTTTTTTTTTTAAACAACATAGAACCCAAATGCAAAAAAAGAGAAAAATCCAACCTTTTATTTAAGTACATTACTTTGGTGGTAAAAAAAAAAAATCACACATTTAGAAAAAAAAAAACTTGAAATCATGTGTCCCACAATTATTGGCACCCCTAACAATTCCGCTGAAATTTTTTATTGATTTTTAAAAATATATATTTTTCTCTAGTTGCTAAAGTTGGTCAGGGTATCTAGGAACTTTTAATTAGTAATTCATGACTTCCTGTTTCCCTGGGGTATAAATATGACGTGACACAGAGGCCTAATTCTCTTACCCATTTGTCAACATGGCAAAGACAAGAGAACACACCATTCAAGTAAGGCAGATTTGTGTCGACCTTCATAAGTCAGGCAATGGCTACAAGAAAATAGCCACTCGCCTTAACTTGCCCGTATCTACAGTCAGAGGAATCATTAAGAAGTTTAAAACAACTGGAACAGTGACAAACAAGGCTGGAAGAGGTCCCAAGTTTATCTTGCCACAACGCACAGTGAGGAGGATGGTAAGAGAAGTAAAAAAAAGTCCCAAGCTCACTGTCACAGAATTGCATCAAAGAGTGGCATCTTGGGGTCACAAAGTCTCCAAAACAACCATCAGACGCTCTCTACATGCCAACAAGCTGTTTGGGAGGCATGCAAGGAAAAAGCCTTTTCTCACTAACACTCACAAACGTAAACGCTAAGCGGCACTGGGACTTCAACTGGGATTGTGTGCTTTGGTCAGATGAGACTAAGATTGAGCTTTTTGGCAACAAACACTCTAAGTGGGTCTGGCGTAAAACAAAAGATGAGTATGCCGAAAAGCACCTCATGCCCACCGTGAAGTATGGTGGAGGATCTGTGATGCTGTGGGCCTGTTTCTCTTCCAAAGGCCCTGGGAACCTTGTTAGGGTGCATGGCATTATGAACGCTTTGAACTACCAGGACATTTTAAATAAAAACCTGATGGCCTCTGCCAGAAAGCTGAATATGGGTCGTCATTGGGTCTTTCAGCAGGATAATGATCCAAAACATGTGGCAAAATCTACACAAAAATGGTTCAGCAGTCACAAACTCAAGGTCCTCCCATGGCCATCTCAGTCCCCAGACCTCAACCCAATCGAAAACCTGTGGGGCGAGCTAAAGAGGAGAGTGCATAAGAGAGGACCCAGGACACTGGATGATCTAGAAAGATTGTGCAAAGAAGAATGGTCAAAGATCCCTCTCTCTGTTCTCCAATCTTGTGAAATGTTATAGGAGGAGATTAAGTGCTGTCTTGTTGGCAAAAGGGGGTTGTACAAAGTATTAACATCAGGGGTGCCAATAATTGTGGGACACATGATTTCAAGTTTTTTTTCCTTCTAAATGTGGGATTATTTTTTTTTACACCAAAGTAATGTACTTAAATAAAAGGTTGGATTTTTCTCTTTTTTTGCATTTGGGTTCTATGTTGTTTAAAAAAAATGAGAATTTTTGGAAGTCCTCGACCACATCTTAAACAGGGGTGCCAATAATTGTGGAGGGCACTGTATATTTTTTAAATGCTGTTCAAACTCAAGTCAAGCAGCCCTACCCATTTCCCTGCATACTGGGAAAATGGAAGTTAAGTTAACAATTAAAGCAATTTAAGTTAATTATTCAACTTTATTACAATAATTTGAAAAGCATCTTAACATAAATGAAACACTGTAAATTCTACAGCACAATCACCTTTGGCCATTTGCCAAATAATTGTCTTATACAGTTTGTACAGCAAAGTGTGCTTTTTACTCTGGAAATAAATCTGTGTGTTAACTACTACAGTTCTGAATAGCTTAAAAGGATAGTTTAGTGAAATTACATTTTTTAGATAGTTGATTCCTTACCTTGAAAGCAATCTGTGGATATGAAGTGTGACTGCAATCCACAATTTGGTTTCATTTAACTAGGCAGTTGGCACTACTTTCAAGTCAACCTCATGTTTAACATGTTCTACATTTCATACCAAAATCATTGCAAAATAATTTAAAACCAAGTCATTGAGTTTACAATCAATTTAAGAGAAGATTTGGATATGACATTTAAAACATGCTACATGGGGTAAATGGACTTATCGGTTTTTGGTCCCAAAATGCTTATAAGCATTTGTTGGAACTGGCTAGTTAATCATAATCAGTGTGGATTGCAGTCACCCTTTGTCCATCGACTGCTTTCAAGATAAGAAAACAAATATCTAAATATTTAAATTGAACACAATTGCAGTAATTATTCTCTTAAAGATTCAGACACTAACCGTTTTCTAGGTGTGACTGCCCCTGTAAATAGAAAATAAATATATCTTTAACAAACTAATTTAATAATATGGTATTAATAATCATGTTAAGATGATTAATATTGTCATTTTATTATTTATTTCTACTTACATTGTTGCTCATGATTGCGGTGGGTGCTGAAGCCAAGCAAATGAAAGACAAGAGTTTAGATGTTTAAGGGCGAGGCATGTAGCCTGGTGGACAGCAGGAAATGCATACTTGTAGTGTATGAGCTTTTAAAAGGCTTCTAAAGTTTGTAATTTACACTTTGAAATGTCAGACTTGATTTGCCCTAACGAAAAATGTATCAACCCCTAGAAATTAATTAATTATAATCCACATCAGGGGCGCAACTTTGGTTTTAGAAGTGGGGGGGGCATATTTTAGCTCGGAGGCGTCCGCAGGGTCCTTAAGCTCACCGTTGCCTCGTTTTGTATCACATTCCAATGATAAAACGGGGGGGGGACAAAAATGCAATTTCAGAATGTGGGGTGGGGGGGTGGGACATGTCATTAAGGTCTAGGATAAACTAAAGTATATTGTTCCACCAGTTGTGCTAGGATAAACTAAAGTATATTGTTCCACCAATTCTTCCAGAAGAAATCCAACAGATACACATAAACACATTTTTAATACAAATGATCAATTTATTTACAAAAAAATACAGATAAAATAAAATGTCATATGCATTCACTATACAAGAGTACTACCTATGATGAAAATAATGTCTGTCTGGAAAGTAATCATTTGCTCACATGGGTATTCATTATTTTAATTATTGTTTTTACAGCGTCTATTTTAGACTTTATAACATTATTTTATCGATAGGTGGGGGAAAAGGTGCTTGTGCATTGATAAGCAAAAACGCCATTAACGATAAGTAATAAAAGAAAAAAAGCACTTCTAATAGCCTATTTCACACTATTGCCTGCTGAATTTGCTAAATAACTTTTCTTTCATGTTGCTTTAGCAAAAATGAAAATGTGGCACAGATTCCCTGTGGATTGATGGTTCAGCATTGTCTCAATGAATAGTTTGGCATTCGACTAGCCATGTGCGACATGCACGAGTAGTTACAAGCCTGCTTGAGTTAGCGGCAGCTGCATTATCAATCCACCTTCGTAGTATGGATGAAGCCAAAGCTGGAATGTGAGCTATCTTAAGCTGGCTAGCTTTTTAAAAGCCTGTGTATAATTCTCTGGAAGATCCGGTTTCGACTTGGCTCTTCATTACTTTGTTGTGCTGAATGGTTGACTGAAAATGATCAACAACATAGTGATTATGGAAACTCAGTTTACCTTAAAGTTTACCATAAGCATTTACGGACATTTTGACAGCCTTACATACACAAACAACAGTATTAGGGTCTGTTCACACAGGGGCGAGCATAGATAATTGATTTTAGTCTTAAACTGATTTCAATATACACACTTTTGTCATGTTTTGTTATGTGTCTCATGCCCTCAGTCTGAATCAAACAGTAATTATTACCTCAGATTGCTTGATTGCTTTGAGATCCTCCAGCATCTCAATCGCCAATCTTCTTCGGAAGTGAATATGCTCATCATCGATTTTCTTTATTTCATCACATTGCATCTCTTTCTTCATCTCTTCCTCAAACTGAAAAAAGAAAACCGTCGAATAACTAGCCTACATTGTACATCCGGCAGCTTATTCAGTGCAAGGACACATCATGTCTCAATTTAGGAATTATTCAAGAGCAATGACATGCAGACCAATGACATGCAGACCTACTGCAGCTGAGGATAACAACACATGATTACCTCGTTCATTAACTTCAAACAAAATAAGTTAATAAGTTTGCTAAATTCATGTAATATTGCAGGGTCTTACCAATTCCTCAAAGCATTCTCCAAATCTGAATTTCTCCAGTCCTGGAAACTCAGCTCCAGTTTCAAAGAGATCCTCCAAGCTTCTGGCAACCAGGTGCAGAACTTCAAACTCATAGGCGTAGACTTTGCCATCTTCACATAACAGGAGAACCAGCTGCCATCCTGCCGCTGAACAGCGGAAGTCATCCAGGGCACCAATGACCACCATCTCCATTCTCTCTGGAAGGTAGCAGTCTTTCCAAACTTCTAACTGTTCACCATCTCCAGCGTGGACAGTTTCCTCCAGACCCCCGATTCTCAACTCATAACTTTTCGGCTTTGCAAGAGGAATCTTGCTGTCGCGATGTTTGGACACAATCTCTTCGATTTGGCCGAGGAATTCTACAGCATCTGTGGCAACAATTGACAATAATTAGAAAGCATATTTTACATTCTAATTGTCAAGAGTGCAGAACATTCTACGTACAACCTGCAAACATAGAAATAACAGGTTTAAATTGTAATGTATTATTAGCTCTTTCCTTTAACACACAACGATGTATGAGCAAGCTGGTGCTCACATAACAGACCTTCAACCGTTGTTCCTGGATGCTTTCATGTTGTGCTTTTGGCCTGAGCTGTCGCATTTTCTATCTTTGAAGGTATAGCCACAGCGCTGGGTATAGGCTCAGCTAGTTGTCTCGCACTGTGACGTATTCCTGTGATCCAAGATCCAACTGTTCACCCCAAGAGGTAGGCTAGCTTTTTTGCTCTAGAAGTTTGTGCAAATGGCTTTAATTGCTGATGGCAGTGTTGTATTGAATCCTGGTGCAACTTCATGTTTCAGTGGTGCTTTGACTCAAATCACGCAGCTAAATCCCATTAGCTGCTAAGGTTGCTGCGGAGAGGATGAGGTCAAATGTGGATGAATAGGAGACAAGCTTGTTGCTGTCACAGTACATGTTTCCAGCTGTGATGACATCTTCCTGTGATCCAAGTCAACTGGTGCGCCCAAAAGTGGTAGGCTTCTTGCTCCAGAAGATTGTGAAATTGGTTTAAAGTGCTTTTGTAGGTAGCATTGTGTGGGTCGGTGCTACAGTCTTAAAATGTTCATCTTCCAAATATCCCCTTGATTTCGTACTCTGGACCTGACAGCAGTGGTAACTTGTGATGCAGCAAGGGCTTCACTAAGGTCAATAGACCTTATTCTTGCCACGGCCATGATTGTTAGAAATCCAGGTTAACAGGGTAGGAAGCTGAAGTGTTTCATCAAGTCTATGGATAAAAGTAATGAAGCGTTCGTCAAGTTCAATCTGATAATTAATACGTTGATTGAAATTCAGAGTGCCTAATTTATTATTTGACTGCCAGCCCTAACCGAGACAGAGCACTAAACATGATGACAGACTAACCAGGCTGAGCACTAAACATGACAGACAAACCAGGCTGAGCACTAAACATGACAGACAAACCAGGCAGAGCACTAAACATGACTGACTAACCAGGCAGAACACTAAACATGATGACAGACTAACCAGGCTGAGCACTAAACATGACAGACAAACCAGGCAGAGCACTAAACATGACTGACTAACCAGGCAGAACACTAAACATGATGACAGACTAACAAGGCAGAGCGCTAAACATGATGACAGACTAACAAGGCAGAGCGCTAAACATGATGACAGACTAACCAGGGGAGTAAACTAGACAAGGGATAAAAGCTTAGACAACAACCATCCTGTGAAGATGTGTCTTAGTGAGGACCTCAATTGGTGTATGGGTTGTGAGGTTCTGACATGGAGAGGGAGGGAGTTCCAGAGTTGGGGGGCTGCACTGCTAAAAGCACGGCCTCTCATGGAGCGGAGCCTGGTGTGAGGGATGGTGAGGAGACCAGTGTCGGAGAAGCGCAGTGAATCGGTGGGAGTGTAGGGGTGCAGGAGGTCAGAGAGGTATGTGGGTCCCAGTCCATTTGTAGGTGAGTAAGAGTAGTTTGAAGATGATCCTGTATTGAACTGGGAGCCAGTGACGTTTGATGAGGGTTGGGGTGATGTCCCAAGGCATGGTGTGAGTGAGGACTCTGGCAGCTGAGATTGAATGTATGGAAGTCAGTCCAGTGTTTTGGTGGGGAGTCTGTAGAGAATGGCGTTGCAATAGTCCAGGCGTGAATGAGGGTTTTAGCAATGGGGTCAGTGATAGGGGGTCCGATTTGTGACATGTTTTTGAGGTGAAAGATAGCCTACTTTGCGTTAAACATAGTGTACGTTGGTTAGCATAGGGAAAATATAGCTTTGTCTGGTGGCACAAAATATACAGCTATGTTTGAATGTCCAATGGCGCAGGCAATTACTCGAACACTCAATTCTCAATTAAACTTTAATTTTGGAAATGTATCATCTGAGTCCGGAATGATTCTTGAATAGAGGTGGTGAAAAGGGAACAGGGTATCATAGACACTCATTGACCCACACAGCAAAACAAACTCCTCACAGCTGAGACATCAGTCCGAATGTCATCACCCATCACCTTCATCCATGTTTTCTTCTGTCACACTGCTCACATGCATTTACCTGCAGATCCAAACACACCTTGATGGAATGTTTCTTCTTTCACACCAATTGAACACTTGATAGCCTACCTATATAATGAGATATCTTCATCCAACATTTCTTCTTTGGCACTGATGAATCTGGTGTCCAGAGCTATCTGTACTCTCTGACGTCCAGGACACACCAACTTTCAGAGAGATTCGTCACGCATCACGGCCAAAATCCTAGTTTGAAAATGCGCTATACTACTCAAACTTTCGCACAGGCACATGCAGTGATTTAATGCTTGAGTCACAGGTATATCTCAACATAGGAATTCTGCCACTATGCATTAAGACGACAGAGGAAGAAAAAGCTCTGATGAAAACTCTGAAAAGATAGCAGCAAAGATGTGTTATAAACAATTGTCAATAGGTTATGGCATAAATCAGACAAACGTTATATACTTGATGTGTTCCCATTTAGAGCCGTGACTAGTTAGTAATGCTTCTTTCAATTGATCCCAAATGTACAGTAGGACATCTGAGATACGAACATATCAGAAATTGAGGTTGTTTGGAACACTGAATTCTGAAAGGCCCATAACTTTGAAATTCACTTAAAGGAATAATTAGTGATTTTGGCAATTGTTCTACTTACCCAGAGTCAGATGAACTCATGGATACCATTTGTATGTCTCTGCATGCAGTTTAAAGGAAGTTGAAGGTCGTTTCTGGAGGGAATGCTAACTAGCATTAGCGCAACGAATGGAAATCTATGGGATCAGCTAGCATTTTGATTTCTTTGTGGATTTTAAAGAATAGGCCTTATACAATATAGAATGACAACCAATCATAAATCATGAAGACACTCTTTTCATATAGTGAAGGAGGGGCCCTAGTGGCCACTCTTCACCAGTAATCAAGCCACTTTATCTTCAAATGACATTCAATTTCTCTATCATGAAATTTGAATGTTAATTTAAATTGTTTATTGAAAAACAATAAACATGTAGAATATGGAGTCTAAACCAGGGATTACATCCGATTGCGAGTAATTGGCAATGCGGCTTTTAAAGGCAATGTTCACGAGTTCACGGAGATCGCATTCATGGTAAATGCTGCATATGTCTGCTATTCATTGACTACAGCTCAGCGTTCAACACCATAGTGCCCTCAAAGCTCATCACTAAGCTAAGGACCCTGGGACTAAACACCTCCCTCTGCAACTGGATCCTGGACTTCCTGACGGGCCGCCCCCAGGTGGTAAGGGTAGGTAACAACACATCCGCCACACTGATCCTTAACATGGGGGCCCCCCCTCAGGGGTGCGTGCTCAGTCCCCTCCTGTACTCCCTGTTAACTCATGACTGCATGGCCAGGCACGACTCCAACACCATCATTAAGTTTGCCGATGACACAACAGTGGTAGGCCTGATCACCGACAACGACGAGACAGCCTATAGGGAAGAGGTCAGAGACCTGACCGTGTGGTGCCAGGACAACAACCTCTCCCTCAACGTGATCAAGACAAGGAGATGATTGTGGACTACAGGAAAAAGAAGAGGACCGAGCATGCCCCATTCTCATCGACGGGCTGTAGTGGAACAGGTTGAGAGCTTCAAGTTCCTTGGTTTCCACATCACCAACAAACTAACATGGTCCAAGCACACCAAGACAGTCGTGAAGAGGGCACGACAAAACCTATTCCCCCTAAGGAGACTGAAAAGATTTGGCATGGGTCCTCAGATCCTCAAAAGGTTATACAGCTGCACCATCGAGAGCATCCTGACTGGTTGCATCACTGCCTGGTATGGCAACTGCTCGGCCTCCGACCGCAAGGCACTACAGAGGGTAGTGCGTACGGCCCAGTACATCACTGGGGCCAAGCTTCCTGCCATCCAGGACCTCTTTACCAGGCCCTAAAAATTGTCAAAGACTCCAGCCACCCTAGTCATAGACTGTTCTCTCTGCTACCGCACGGCAAGCGGTACCGGAGCACCAAGTCTAGGTCCAAGAGGCTTCTAAACAGCTTCTACCCCCAAGCCATAAGACTCCTGAACATCTAATCAAATGGCTACCCAGACTATTTGCATTGCCCCCCACCCCTCTTTTATGCTGCTGCTACTCTGTTTATTATCTATGCATGGTCACTTTAATAACTCTACCTACAGTGAGGGAAAAAAGTATTTGATCCCCTGCTGATTTTATACGTTTGCCCACTGACAAAGAAATTATCAGTCTATAATTTTAATGGTAGGTTTATTTGAACAGTGAGAGACAGAATAACAACAACAAAATCCAGAAAAACGCATGTCAAAAATGTTATAAATTGATTTGCATTTTAATGAGGGAAATAAGTATTTGACCCCCTCTCAATCAGAAAGATTTCTGGCTCCCAGGTGTCTTTTATACAGGTAACGAGCTGAGATTAGGAGCACACTCTTAAAGGGAGTGCTCCTAATCTCAGCTTGTTACCTGTATAAAAGACACCTGTCCACAGAAGCAATCAATCAATCAGATTCCAAACTCTCCACCATGGCCAAGACCAAAGAGCTCTCCAAGGATGTCAGGGACAAGATTGTAGACCTACACAAGGCTGGGATGGGCTACAAGACCATCGCCAAGCAGCTTGGTGAGAAGGTGACAACAGTTGGTGTGATTATTCGCAAATGGAAGAAACACAAAAGAACTGTCAATCTCCCTCGGCCTGGGGCTCCATGCAAGATCTCACCTCGTGGACTTGCAATGATCATGAGAACGGTGAGGAATCAGCCCAGAACTACACGGGAGGATCTTGTCAATGATCTCAAGGCAGCTGGGACCATAGTCACCAAGAAAACAATTGGTAACACACTACGCTGTGAAGGACTGAAATCCTG